CTTTCAACCTCTAACATTCTGTGATTCTGTATTAAATAAAACTTAACTGCCAAACAACAGACAACCCAGTCCTCTCAAGTTACAGTAATCATCAGTCCACAACAGCTTTTTTGTGAGCTGGCACATCTGCTTCAGCTACGCTTATGAGAACAACCATCTGCATTTACATTAAAAAAGCAGCAAAGATGGAAAATGTGCTACTTCATGGGAAACAGCTTTAAGGTGGACTTGCCTCAACCTTGTCCTTGAGGGTGCACACCTCAAAAAAATAAAAATCCTTTTAAACTGGGCAAAAAAAAAGTATCATGAATACAAATTACACCCTTAAAATTAATTTTTTAAAATTTTGACTTTAGCAAGGCTTTCAGCAAGTCTTTTTTAGTATCTTTTTAGTCAACATGGAAAAATATGACTTGGACAGGTGGATACTAAGGTGAGTAGAAAATTTATATGAAACCCGCAGGGTTAAGGGAAGTGACTCCCCCTTTTTAGCACTTGTGAGAGTGACAGTATCTGGAGTGCTTCTTTGGGCTCTCCAGCCCACCACACTGACTTACTGGAATGAGTTCAGTGGTGGCAAGAGAACTACAGGGCTGCAGAGAAGGTCAAGGAGGGATCTAACTGCTGTCTTCAACTACGTAAAGGAAAGGGAACATAAAAGATTAAGCTGAGGTGCACAATAAAAAGACAAAGATAATGCACGAGAGTCATAAATTTTGAACAGATATGAGGAAAAAAATTGTGTGGTGGAAAAACACTGGGATGGACTGCTGAATCACTACTCTTGGAGATACTCAAAACATGACCGGACAAGGCCCCAAACAACTGGCCTTGCCTTGCACTGTGATCTAGACCAGATGACCTTTAGAAGCCATTTCCAAGTTAAATTATTTCATCGTGATTCTATGATTTGGTCCATTTTGGAAGCAGTGCCAAAATGCACTTGCCTGAGCTGCTAGAGAGATTAGTTTAATTCTTGTACAAGTGAATTGTTGGATCCACACCACCTGATTAGTTACAGAGTCCTCTAGCATCCTCTGGAACGTCTGTTCAGTTTGAAAACCATGCGTAAGAAGTGTAGACACAAACAACAGTCATAATTCTTTCCCATTTTCCCTTTAAAGAAATCTTAGCTCTTAGATATTGTCAGTCCTTGTGCTCTTACCCCTCCACTGTGCATTTATGAACAAGCCATACAGTAGGTGACTCTTCCATGGAAATACAACAGCATTGTAGAATTTAAAATACATACACTCATAGTAATAAAAAGGAAAATTCTTTCTGAGCATTACTGTAACTACTTATGTGTTTGTTCCCCAAAAAAAGAATTCTGCAATTTCCTTTTATCCTGCTTAAACGTTGCAGTCTGAGAATAATTTTTATCCTTCAAGCTGAGAAAAATCAAACAGCTAAAAAATCCAACATGCAGTTTGGCTTCATTTCCATACTGCTATGAAACTGCAATACCTCTTACTATCGTGCATGTACATCTGTTTGTTTGAACTCAGAATAGGTTATCACACCTGATCCTTTGGTGGTGTCTGAGTAACAATAATTTAGTAAAGTCTTATTCACTGGTCTGGAAAAAGTAATCCTACAGCTAGAACAGGAGTCATGTCCTCTTTGCAATAATAAGAAACAACCAAATGTTTCAGACTCACAAACCTAATGTGAGTAAATAATGTAAAAGGAATTGTACGGTTTTTACTAATCAAATATCTGAAATATAAAAATTTTGACTGTATTTTCTTACTCCTCATTTTTGGGGTGATCCCAAATATTGTGAAATAACTGAAACTCATACACTGCAAAACCACTTAAAATTGTTGCAGAGTAAGATAAAAACAACATGAAAAGATCATTAAAGCGAGCAAGAGCTTGCATGTGTTGTGCTCAGCCTGGAGCTGTGCCTTAACAGCCTGAGCAGCCAACTGTTAAAGAGCAGCAGCTGGGTTCCACCTGCCTTTCTGTCCCTGAAGTTCCCTGAAAGAGCTGAAATAAACTTTGCCAATCCACCCCTCTCTCAAAATTGGTTGATACGATGATCATGTTCTAGTACGTCAGCAGATGGGTCATTTAGACAGCTCAGCTACATACTGCTAGTCTCAAGAAACCCAGCTACTTCATGTTTTTCATTACGCAGAATCTACCTTTCAAGTCAAGATATCTACCAAAGATGAAAGAAAAAAACCCACCACACTCGAAGGAAAATTTCTCACTAGTGTGAATTCCCAAATAATTTTCAGGTTGTCTCCCCAGGGAAAACTGCTACGTGTGTACCGTTCCCTAATGTTCTAAACTGGCAATGCCCCAGAACACAGCACTCAGACGAGTGTTTTTTGGAGTAATAACTTACATTACCAGGACTTAATTCTGCTCACAGTTTATATTTACAACTCAACATAAATGGATGTTGCATGCACACAGCCAAGGGCAAGATCTGGTACGAAATATTTCAAAAGCATGAAAACATATTGGACTAAAAAAGCCCCCGCATTTTACAAGTGAAGTAATGGAATAAAACCAGCTGTAGTCATAACCACATAAAAACATTCTGCATTAATGTCCCTAATTTCAGGAAGAATATTAAAAATACCAGCAGAACAGAAAAGCCTACAGGGCATCCGGGAGTGAACGACCCACATAATGTAATCAAATCCAGTACTAAATAAGCCACTGGAAAGGAACAAACACAAGGAGGTTATTAATTAAAAGGTGTAACACTCTCAACATGCAAACTGGCAGCCACAAATTAAGCTCAGAAGAATTACCTTCTTGGTTTTCAAACTGTTCTGACAACAGATGGTAGCAGCAGCCTACACTGCAAACTGCTTTGATTTCAGGCTTGGCAGTAAAAATCCGTAGCGTATTTGCAGCAAGATCGCCACATGTATGTAGACCAACCATCATACAGTCCTAAGAAGAAAAAGGAAAAAAGAAGAACAATAAAGTATCTTCCTCTGCAACTGAAAGAGCATGAACAACAGACAGCAAACTTCCAAAACCCAAATATGCTGCAAATGGTTATCGAGCGATTAGGTTCAAATATACAACTCGATGAGGACTCCTGCTGTTCTGTTCTAGAATTTCTCAGTGCATAATCAAAACTCTTTAGTGCTAAGAAAACATGGGCATTTTCTTACAGATTACAAAGGAAGAACTTCAGCTTCAGATGATCTGTTCTCCTGTCCATTCTACTTCCTGCTTTACTTTTTCCTCCATTCAAATTATCCCTCTTCTTACCATTCATAACAAGATATGTCCCTTCTGGCAATATTAGCTGGAACCTACATGGTAAACATGGTGTTGCTTTGAATTTCAGCCTTATTTATTAACAAGGTTATCAACAAATTAGCCTAGAGACATCCAACTAGCATACCTTTCCATAACCATTCTGACTTTATAAACATATCTATTTTTGCTGCTCTATATCTGATTTTCTCATGCATTTGTATTATACGGTTGCAAGAAAAAGTACGTGAATCTTTTGGAATTTCGTGGTTTTCTGCTTTAATTTGCTATAAAGTGTGATCTACCTGTCATCTAAGTCAAGAGTATTGACAAATACAATGTGCCTAAAATAATAACACAAAACCAAGCTTCTGAACAATACGAGGGCAGCCTGTCAGTGTCAGGTACGCTTTTAGAACATCACTGACTTCAATGAGGTTGCCTGGGCATAACGGAAAGTACTTTCTGGGTCACTGGTTTAAGTGTAGCAAAATGTGACATCTCAATGTTATTCCTGGGCTATATACAAACATGCATTAGACCCATATTTCAGCAGCTAATTAATTTCAGAACTTTTGGTATAAACAGGTAAATACTAATATAATCCACACTTATCTGTCCCCAGCTTAAGAAAATTTGAAAAAAAAAAAAAGTAATCAATTTATGGCTACAATAAAATATCGTAAATATTTGTAAAAGTATTTCTAAAAAGGTATTTTCTTTATAAAACTCTCAAAATACTTTGAAAACACGTAAATGATTGCACTTTCTAAAGTTTGTTAATTACACACATTCATCACGCATAACGTGCAGTTTAGTTACTATTTTTCAACACAGTGAAGCTTTCTGACAGTACTCTATTTACTTTTTTATAAAGAAAGGCAGTGATCTATGATTCATTTTACCTTTTACATCATACAAATTACATGCTAAGAGGATACAAAACTCAACTGTGCAAATGTAAATGTCTGTGTTTCATCCCCAAACTCCACTGCTCAGGGTGTCTTTTGCAGACAGACATGAGCTTGCTCCACATGTTCTCAGATGCTCAGTAGGAGTTATTAGCTCAGGTTACAGGGCCATCAGCACAAACCTATGGTCTTGAATCAGAGATGAATTACACCCCTGAATATAATAGCTCAGTTACTGCTGAACACAGACGAGTTTTTATCCTTCCACAAAAGACTGAATCAACATACATAGGATCTAAACAGCCATAGCTTCTAGACTCATGTCACTGCCTTTGGAGAGCCGAGCTTGGGCTTGTTTGTGTAGACACAGTCCCCAAAATCCAGTTAATTACTAGATGAACTTAAAGTAACGCTAAGAATTCAATATACAAAAAAAAAATTTGCAAAAAGGGCTCTTTATGAACTCTTTTGAGTACCACACACAATAAATTATCCTAAGCCCTCAAAGTTTAACTGAAATTACAAAAATACAAAGCCTAAGAAATATGACATTTTGGGAAAATTGAAATTCAGGTGCTGACTATATGCCTGGCAAATATAACTCTTTCCATAATAATTAGATGTTATCCCTAACCACAGTTACAAAATACCTAAATATGCTGATAAGTATGCTGTTACCTTGGAGAACTGATTACTATTTACCCCATAATGTGTAGAGGCTGTTTTACATATTCAGAATAATCCAAACACATCTATTAAAATAGAAGAACAATCTGTATCTGCTAGACATACTTCTGCTAACTGGCTGAAAAAGATTATTGGACCAGAATATTCATTTACGCCACTGAGAGCACTCTATGTACAGTCAGCAAATATTACGTACATGTAAAAATGTCAATTTAAAGACGATGGACAATCTATTTCAAATATTAGTAAAATAACCTCCAGATCCGTTATGATGTCACTGAGTTCTGTTGCTGCAGTGATGCAAGAGGTCAATGGAAAATACAGGTTTGATTCACTCGACTTGCTTGCTTTAGCCTTGAGAGATGCCATTTTTCTTTGTGCCTTTTCCTCTTCACAGAGTTCCCCACAGTCACACTGAGATGAAGAGAAAACTTCTACAGCGTCAGCAGGCAGAATATTTAGAGTAGCAAGAACATCTTCAGAAAGTTTGCTTTCATCAGATTGTGTTTGAGTGACCAAATCAACTTCAAGTTGTTTGCTGGTTTCAGATGTAGCTACTTCTGTGAAACCACAAGAAGGAACTAAATCTTGGATAGTCCCTTCATCCTGACTTTGAAGACTGCTGCTACGATTCAAGGGCTTTTCACTGATTGCTTTACATTTGATTTCACTTTCCACCGGCCTGTCATTTGCCTTTTCCAACCTCTGGCATTTGAGGCTTACTCCTCCTCGACTCTGATACGCTCTCCAGTGTTTCTTCAATTTTCTGTTCCTTTCATGAGCACCGTCAGTGTTGGTGTTTGAGGAGTCAATTCCATAAACTTTTAGATCATATTGCATGGATAAAAATGAACTCAAGTAGCCTTTTCCAGAACCTATATCAATCACCTAGATAATGAGGGGAAAAAAAGAAAATAAATTTTGCTATATTAATGAGCATCAAGACACAGTTCAATCAAATGCAAAATAATTCCATAAAAATTTAAGCATGGATTAAGGCAATAGCTACCTTATCAATATCATCCCCCTCCTAATACACTTAGTTCCTTTGCTTTGTTACTTAACTGATATGCTCTAGAAAACAGACACTGCAATGCTTGTGCGATGCACACATCCTGACTCTTCTGGGAAAGACTGTCAGTATATTTTTTTGACACAGAATTTCCTTCTGCTAAAGCAAATAACCATAAACCACCAACACCACTACCTGCCCTCACTAAACTGGGTCAGGACACAAATTTAGCAAAGAAAAAGTATTTTGCTATAGGCACCTAATTCCCATACTGAGGAGTCTACTACCACTAGGTGTACAGAAATAAGCATCTTCAGATTCGGTGCTTAACTTGTGTCATAGATCATAGCATATCCTACTTCAGTGACTGCTACCACACAGAGAGGAAAACACTATACAGACTAGTAGGAGCAGAAACTAGGGTAACCTGCGACCTTTCAGTACATAATCATAACTTTATATCGTGTGTTATAATTTGTAACAAATACATAACAAAATTTTTTACAAGAATAGGCTAAGTGACATTTCTCTAAGGAAAGAAAATGGTAATGTCAGCTTCTGCTCAGGTGTCTACAAAAATTATACTGACTAGAGTTGATGACTTCTTTTTAGATGTTCCTGTAAGTGTTTTATTCACGAACATCTGCATCCTGTTCCTGGTCTGTCAAACATTCATAAGAAAGCTCACACTGATATTTTAAGTCCAAACAGCAGCATACACTACATGGATCCATCTTAAACTCAGCTGTATAGTTTTTTACCAGGTAAGAATATTCAGTACAGCAATACTCTTAATAAGGAGAAATTCACTACAAGAAAGCCAAAGATTTGTACAGACATGGAATTAGAAAGAAAAAATTGAACCAATGTCACTAAAGACTACGTAAAACACTGGAGAATACACACTCTTAGGTAAAAACTTACTACCCAGGCTGCACATGACTTTCTCATCTGCACTCATCATGTGACATAGCTGCATATTTGCCATCTAAGTAGGCTACAATCCTCAAATTTCTTGAATGAAATCAGTACAGGAATGGATTTAGTGAAATATAATTCATATAATGTAAACATACTTTTTAAAATGGTATTTATATTGTCTCGGTTTTTACCCATTACTTTATGTAACAGATATTGTGATTATGCAGAATATGCACACCCTCACGTCTACAAGTTTTTTTAATTATTTCTTTGAAGGGCAGCATTTGGACCTGAGTTAGCTGACCAATTATTCCTAACTCTTCCATGTGCCCTCTACTGGCTGTAAAGACAAATTGCTGTTTGGGTACGTTTGTATCAGTCGTTTCCACATGAAAACAAAACTAATACATGGTTAAATTAGCACTGGCAGAATAGTTTTAAAATGAAAGGAAAACCTGACTAAAAACAAGCAGTCAGTGATCTTGTGCTAAACAAGTCGATGGCATTAAATTGCTTTACCTTCCCTTGATTACACAAGGAAATGTAATCAGCAATCCATAGCATATCTGCCAAGTATGAACTGTTAAAATGAAATTTCCATGATACGACAAACTGCAAAGGTCTTGTCCATAGTGAGTTGGATACTATGTTTAAACACAGTTTATGGCACAGCACAATCAAGAACTTGGGTTTCCAGAAGCACTCCAACATCTCTGAGCACCAAATCGCAAATTTAATAGATGCTGAATGAGGAATTATATCATGCTTACATTGCACATTACAACTATTGCTGCACATGCTGCAATTTCCAAGGAAAACTCTGACAAATACATTAAAGAAAACAAAGGTGCATTTAAGCAAAAAGAATCATCACTGGCTTCTTTTCAGAGTTTAATCATGAACTTCTTTATAAGATGAAGTCTCACTTGCAGGATAGGTAAAATGCTTAAAAGGGCTAGTAAACATCAAAAAAAACCCCCCTTTAGTTAGTTTGTTTTAATTCAAATCATTAACTAGAAGTGATTACAGCTGCAATAAAATTTTTGCTTTTATTCTCATTTTACTATTTATTACACTACATTATAAAATACCGCAAGAAAGTAATATCCTCTACCACCCATTATATATCATGGGTACGGGGGTGAAACGCGGGGCATTTTTCAAGCTGTAAGTGATCTGCAATATCTGAAGGAAACACCCTGAGGACACGTGCTGTTGTAAAACATGTGCTGTGTTTTCATAGCTCTAGATTTTTTAATTAAATACCGCAAATATTTTGTTTTGCAAGGATAGAAAAAATCAATAAGGAAAAAACTCTCCTAAAACTTTACAATTCCTATTTTCTTTTAAGTTGAAAGGAAACCAAGACCAAAGGAGTTCCTTTTAATAACTGGGAAGAAGCTTTTCTTTTTTTTTTTTTTAATGTAACTGGAAAGCTCTTTTCATATATTAGGGATTTGTAACTTTGCACAAATAAATTTTTTTAGAGTACATGACTAAAACAGAAAAAAGTTCATACAGAGCAGCCAGCATTTCATATTCAGTGATATACTACAAAAATATTTTTCATTAAATGTTACAATTTTTTCAAAAAATAAAAAAAAAGTCATCCCTTGTATAAAGACATTGCAAGCCATCTGATAAAAGTGCATAATCACTGGATGAAATAGCAGTGTATTGACAGACACTTAAAAATGTGTGGTTTGAGATTTTATTAGTAACCAGCTACATCGGGACTTAGGTTAGATCATTAAGGTGGCTCTACTTTTTTACTCTCTGAACATGCATTTTCCTTTCCTTTCATTACTGAATCTCACAGGAACTATTTAAAATCTAAATGAAAATGCTATATGAAACACCATTGTCCAGCAAATACAGAGAACATTTAGTAATGCCGTATGAGCAAACTACACTCTCCTACGGCTTTCTCAGTAACTGAAAGTCTTCAACGCTACTAATACATGCCTCAGGCAAAAGGTAAGCAAAGCAAAAATCACACTAATGACAGAAGAAATTACTTTCACAAATCTGCTGCTACTGTACTGCTGTTCTTTACAGAGCACACCCACTCCGGGGCTGTTGAGGGCATCCACACTTGTCACCACGTCTGCCTCTTGAAAGAGCAACTGCAGAGATCACCTTCCTTCGCTCAAAGCCATCACAGCTGCTCACAAACTGACCGTGTCTCATCTAGCAAAAGCTGACTTTAATTGCAGCTCTCCGTTTATTTGGGATTCCCAGTTGTAAGGAGCTTGACTACAACTTTGTCTCTGCCAGTTGTTCCTCACAAAAGAGATGGTCAGGACTCAGCATTTTAATCTCTATTTCGAAGGATGACACAGGTCTGACCCAAACCAATCAAGAGTACTGCACCCTTCAGGTTACCTAAATTAAACTCAGTCTGAGCCAAGTAACTTCCTTGTCAAAGTTCAGCTTCAGCAACTCAGAGCCGAACCCCAGTTTTGGGGCCTGCCCTTCAGTCTACGGTGGCAGCAGCAGCAGCAACTCGGGACACTCGAGCACTAAACTGAATGGAGCACACAGCTGCTTCTCTACCCACAGCCACACTATCAATTTTTAGCATACCTGGTGCAGGTATGAAGCAGGGCAGCTAGCACTGTCCAATTACAAAGATCAGGCACAATACAAGATACACCAGAGATATATCAGAGACCATAATAATACAAACCTGGTCTGCCCAACTGCGGCCATCTCTCCCCCCTCGCCCACACCAAATACATTGATTTTAAACTATACTAAGACATATTTAGTTAGGGAAGAAAAAAAAAAGGCTCAGAGGGAATATGTTCAGCATAAAATCTGGGCATGCATCCTATTAATCTTTGATTTTAAACAAATATAATGTGTTCTCCACAAATCTTTCTGTGAGTTCATATTAGGCTGAAGGAAATTATTCTCCATTTACACTTACAGCCCCTCTTACAGAGCAAGTGCAACTTAGATACAGAACAGAATCAAATGCAGCATCAAGAGCCTCTAGTTATATTCAGTTTGAAGTGAGGATGCTGTATTAGCCAGTTACTAGCATTACAGAGATTAAAATGACTAAATCAATTCAGTTCATCCATACGCTTAAAAAATTAGTCTTACCGAAACAAAGGATTAAAACATGGAATCTAACAGAAAGTTTAACTTTGAAAGTTTACAAAAAATTATGTGTATGTAAATTGAGAAAATGGTATTTATGTTACTTTTATGTAATAGAATGTGAAATACACAGTACTCCAAAAAAGTCAAGTATTCTTGTGATGCTTGTACCTTGCCAACAGATCCGTAAGTAAGCATCTACAAGGTTTTAATGCAACAGTGATCTATCGTACTGTGCAATTATATTTTAAAAAAACTTAGTAACTTACAATCCTATTTGAGAACAGAATCCTGTAATTCTTCACCATCCAAGGATGAACTTGCCATCTGATGTATGAAACAGCCAATTCAGAGTAATTGCTGGGTGATAACGGGGTTGGGTGTCCAGAACTCCTGTGCTCTACGAAATGCACTTCATGCACACTCTGATACGCTAATCTCTGCTTAATCTGATCTCTCTTCAAACTAAAAAGGTTAGATCTGAATTCCTAATTGACAGATCTCCATCCATGTTAAAAAAAGAGGGTGAACAGCACTAAACAATAGGAAACAATTTAAATCTTTTCTGTCAGCATAAGATGGGCTTCAAAATTTCTCACATTATCTGCTTTGGTCTCTATATGGAACTCTTGTGTGCCTGACAGGAGAATCAAGCTTTGCTTTTCCTACCGATGCTTGGTAAATTGTCAGCAACATAATACTGACAGATAAGGCAGTATCTGTGCATAGCACAAAGCACTACAATTCTTAGCTGTTAAACATACAGAGACTGATTTATAATTTCTTAAAATTTTTCATGAGTTATAAAACAACTGACTCACTAAAAAGGTAGCTCCCTTTGGAACGATGCATTTGTAAACAAAGCCGTCCTTAAGCTTGGCCCTAAAGGCTGTTTTTACAGGAAAATTAAGAACAGCAATGACAGAATATTAAAATGATGTATTTGAACAAAATCAGGAGAATAATTTGGAAGGTACATAAGTAACATACAGTAAGAAATGCTTTCTTACCTGTTTTATACCACAGTATTTTGCTATGTTGTCTACCAGCTCGGACATCACCTGCACTTCATGTGATTTCTTACTATTCATAAACTCATCGGTTTTGATACCTGTATCAGATTGAGAAAATAAATACACAGTAATGCAGCCCATAGCAATAAAGAGTTGTAACCAATTAGAAAAAATACTAACCTAAAAATATGCTATTTTTATATTGTAAGGATAGCAATTTTTAATTAAAAGCTCACTGAATCATTAGAAAACTAAACTTCCGAATTATGGATGAATTAGTAAAATTCAACACACTGTACAACTTAGTACTGTTAGTGTAGTGTAGTTTTTTAAAGAGGTAGCATATCTAATACCTGACCAGATACTAGACAATAGCTACTACTATAAAACTGGAGTATTTCTTCTTGTTCATTAAAAATATTTATTTTTGAGACATTTATCACATTTACCTTTAACATATTTGAAACATAATGGCAGGGACAATCAAGAATCATACAGCACAGTTTGCTAATTCTATAGGTTTGCTCAAAGTATCAAGTGGGAGACACTTCAAATAAAAGCTATGAGCAATGTTGGGGAAATTCAAAGGAAGATGCTCTTTTATCTTCTTTTTTTTACAGAATTACCGAATCGTTGAGGCTGGCAAAGACCTCCGAGATCATCAAGTCTAGCCTATGACCCAACACCATCACATCGGCCAGACCAGGGCACTAAGTGCCACATCCAGCCTCTCCTTAAACACCTCCAGGGACGGTGACTCCACCACTTCCCTGGGCAGTGCATCCCAGTGCCTGAGCACCCTCTCTGTGAGGAAGGGCTGCCTGAGATCCAACCTAAACCTCCCCTGAAGCAGTTTCAGGCCGTGCCCTCTCGTCCTGTCACTGGTTGCTCAGGAGAAGAGCCTGACCCTCACCTGACTGCACCCTCCCTTCAGGCAGTTGCAGAGAGTGATGAGGTCCCCCTGAGTCTCCTCTTCTCCAGGCTAAACACCCCCAGCTCCCTCAGCCTCTCCTCACAGGACTTTCCCTCCAGTCCCTTCCCCAGCCTTATCACTCTACTCTGGACCCGCTCCAGCACCTCAAGATCTTTCTTGAAGTGAGAGGCCCAGACCTGCACTCCTGTGTTTGAATTGTTACATCTTTATGGTACAAAATCAGTCACCTGGGTGTTGCTCAAGAATGTGTTAATGAGGCGGAATGAACCTCTACCACAGGTTTATTGCTTGTGGAGAATACCAACCACTCACTTGCTAATCTCTACAATCCCAACCAAAGGAGTTGCTCAGAAGTTGCTCCCTCGGGAGAAACCCACACTCTTCTCCTCTCCCAGCAACACCTGAAGACGCTTGGCTCTAGTTAAATTGATGGAAAACTTTTGCAAATTTGAGTGATGCTAGACGACCTTGTACCATTGCTGATGAGCATGCTCTTAGAAAGCAAGATTTTTCCACATGACTAGGCAGATTAATATACTTTCCCATTTTCTGCTTTTTGCACACCACGTGTTTGTCTGTCCAGAAACTGATCATTAGGCAAAAGCTGCGCTCATTGCTTGATCAGATCATGCTGGGAACAGAGCCAAGTGTTACTTCTTTAAAAGAGAGTGGGGAATTGAACTGAGCTCATGAGAAACCTAGTTTTTTCTCTATTTTTCCCCAAACCCATGGGATCTCTCTCTTTCTTAAACATGTTTTTTTTTATAATAAACTGTTATGACAATACTTAAAATCTAATGTACAAACTGACAAAAATAGGCTAAACCACTTTTAAACAAACAGCAGAACCAAGTGTTTGACACTTCACTAAAAATTCTGCTTTAAAACTGTGAAGATCTACATAGTCGCTAAAACTTCTTAATTTGTAAGCATTTCAAATGCAAGAAAAAAAAATAAAAAAAAAGAAGAAAAAAGGTCTTTTTGTTTATATTTGAACGTTTTTGTGTCTGCATAGGCTCAACAGAGGAAGGAGCAGAATGGGAACAGGAAGAAACAGACATTTAACTTCTTGACAGAAATAAAAGTTGTTTGACTTTTCTCCAAAGCAGCACTGTCACTTTGAACTATCACCACACACTGCACCTTTTATTCTTTGCTATAGTATGAACTCAAAAGACTGATATGGGTACTGCTGCGTGAAGCACCATTTCAGAAAATACTTAAGCCAAATTAAGTATTTCAAACATGGAAGAAATCCAGAAATCCAGAAAAGAGACTCAACTTACAAAAGCTGAGGTTTTGTAGAAAAATCGTAGTTTGCTTATACTTACAGATATAAAGTATTTATAACCTTAGCTACTAAGTTTCTTAACCATTTTTAGACTTTTCTTACTTTTAACAGAATGAACATACTGATTATATTTCAGCTCAGGGAAAACGATACTCTAAGCAGAAATTCATGGATTTTTTAATAAATGTTATTCTTGTTGCATTCTCAGTAAAATTCTTACAGGTGTTTTTTACATAATTTTGAAAAACAAGCAAACATATTACCATCTAATAGAAAAACTCTATTGAAGCGCTACCAAGGGAATGGCAACTTTGAAAAAAATAATGTCTACTTGTTTTAAACAAACTGTGTAAATTCATTCTGCCACCACAAAATTACTTTCTTGAAGAAAATAATTGCACATGCAGATTTCCTTAATATGTATACAACTTATGCAAGTAGATTAAGTAGTAAATTCAAACAATATGAGAAATTTAGAGATCCATCTCCTTTTGTGAGACAGCAGGACCCTGGGTATAATAGAGTATCAGAAAGTCTAATGTCAGTAGTTTTAGCTGGTACTGAAATGTTGCTTATTTCCATTGCGAACCCCTAGCACAGGTAGCTGTTTTCCATTTGAAAAACTGCTGCAACTCTACAATGTCATTCCCAGCTACATGTTTAGTTGTGAAGCTGAACAAACTGACGAGAGACTGTCTTTTACACACGGTTAATGAAGGTCTTCCTAATATCTCCCACGGCAGGGTGCAGGGGTTTTACACCCCAGCTACCTGTGGAAATTAAGATGCACCTGACAAAAAAAAATAAATTCACTGGCCACATGAGGCAACACCATCTATACAGAAATTACACTATTATTACTTAATTCCATAAACCTGGGTGAGGGACTGAGATAACCGTATACTAAAAAGACACTGAGACAGAGTGATATTCCAGTACACAGAATTTTAAAAAGGTTTTGTTAACAGTCACTGCATGATTACTACCTTGGTCATAAACAAACTGCAAAAGCAGACAGTTCTCTTAATCCAATACTTCAGCAACCTTCACTTCTTCTATCAGGTATGAACCCTGTAACAACAGAAATTGTCCCTGCTGGCTTTCTCCCCTTGGGCCAGGTTCCTCTGGACCCTCTGCGTTCAGTGCAGGCAACTTGATAGTGCAGCAAAGACCACAGTGGCTTTCCTTATGAAGCAACAAAGTCCTTTAGACTCAGAACTACATTCTGGGTAGCTGTGTCCATAACACACTTAAAATGTTTGTGCTTACTAATTACTCCAAGGAAGGATAGCAATCTGTCTACATTAAGATGGTGAAGAAGTTAACAGAAGTAAGCAAATCATGGGAACAGGTCATGGGAACAGGCTCATAAGCATGTTTGTCTTCGAATAAGAAAATGTTATCAAAACCATCTGAAACATAACTGGAGGCATCCTGATGCACACATTATTTTCAGAATATAAGCATGGCCATCATGAAGTTGTCAGTTTTGTCAGACTTAAGCTTCTCTCGACTTGCAAGGTTTAGCATGTCAGGAAATTAATATATTTTCCAAAAATACAAAATTAAGACCAAAATACCTAAAATAGCTTAAAAGATCGCAACTTTCATTTGGCAACTTGCACGTCATGAATCCATAATTTGGTAATTTGCTTCTATCAGATGATTACCAAGAAGTTAAATTAAGTTAATTTAACTGATACTTACTGCCAATTCAACACAAAGGTTTTAATTAGAAGATCGCTGTACACATTTGGAACACATTTTATTTTTCTATGAAATAAAATTTAGAATTAACTGCATCACAAACCCAGGCCCCAGTTACCCAACTGAGCAGCACTCCTGCAAAACACAGAACAAAATACTCAGCATTTCTTAGGATAAGACGTGTCAGAGTTTTAATGTATTACAGAGATAAAACACACTGTAACACAAAGAGCTGCTCAGAACGCCTCTGAAAAACTAATGAGAAATCTGACAGTGACAAATCTATAAAGACTGAGGGCTCTGTGAAGAGCACATTTTCACTGAAAATTACATCCATCAAAGTAAGTGTAAATGCCAGTTTATCATCTGATAAAAAAAAATAAAAAAGGGTAAGATTTTCAGTGTCCAACTTGATGTCAACTTGAGACTGTTTTAATTCAGTTTCTTTAACTACAGAAAATAAAATTACTCTACTCATACAACATACAATTGGTATTGATCCAAAACATGCAATCTGATTTTTTTTGAGATATCAAACACTTATTGGGCCATATTCGGCTAAATGCCAAAGCACATATTTAATATTAAACAAAAACTGTAGCAAGAAAACCCACTTGCCAGATTTTACGGTGAAACATTTTTAACAAAAGCAAGAGTAGTGACCATAATTCCAACCATTCAGGGCAAAGAAAAACAAAGGAAGTTAACAAGATAGTTCAGATAATGATGTGTCTATCTCATCCCCTTCAAAACTGAATCTCAGTAAAGGTCTATATGTACAGAATGGTGTGACCCCTCTACTCAAATGTTAGCATTTTCTAAACAAAGACAGTGAAGGAATTGTGTAGGAAGAAATGAAAATCAAAATGAGAATTGTGGAGGAAAAAAACCACAACACACCAAACCATCCACCAAAACTCTGCAGGTCCTATAGTGAACAAGTTAAAACCGAAACACAAATGGAAATATACCTGCTGTTCCTTGATTGTCTCCTCTTAGTGCTTCAAGCACGTCTTCTAATGGGGTGCACACTCCAAGGGTGGACAAAGAATAATACTTAGCAGCCAGGGCAAACAAATGTACATTGATAAGCTGCTTAGAGTTTTCACAAAACACATCTGAAAATGTGTCATCATCTGTATAAAAAAGAAAAATATTTCTGTAAACCGTGCTTAACATCTCTGTAATAGTGCTGACAGAGAACTACAAGCAATAAATACTTAGCATCAGACAGAAGCAATCATTTATTTTGCTTCCCTGAGAGGGAAAATTCATTATTTTTCTTCAGCTGTATTCTCCCTTCAGAACCGAGGTCAAATTTTGCTCTTAGCTGAACTAGTGTAAATGAGGGAATTCTATTGTTTTAGCAGAGCTACTTCAGTATAACCGACAAGAGAATTCAGTCAATGTTATCACTTCTCTTTTGTTTACAAACTTGCTCATTACACATTTCCTAGTCACCCCCATCTGTCAATACACACTAATAGATTTTTTAAGAAATGCAGCTGTTCAATATATGAAATGTTTTGATTTACAATCACTATATTCATATATTTTCCAAGCTGCTTTGTAACTGGTAAATCTGCTGAGAGAGTTACATTAATTTTTATTACCCATCAGGTGTGAGCCAAAGTTAGTTTCCAATGTGTATTTTGTTTGACTCAGGATTAAATGCCTTGGTTCTAGTTTCAAAAATGTACATTTATTTTTAAGTGAAACATATTGGTATGAATGATTTATTAATTCTGAGATTTTATTGTTTTGTCTAATTCCCTTCTATTTTAGCTAAAACTGCTTGTGAATTCTACATAGTTTTGCTAATAACTTTAAAATATTTGCAATTCTTTTAAAATATACAGAAGCTAACCAGTCCAGCAAACAATTTGTAAGGAAGACTTAGAAAATGCCTCCTGGTTTCTCTTCTGTCTTATGAGTAGGTGTTGAGCAAGTACACACCTAGCATGGTAGCTTTCCTACCCAGCTGTATGACAGCAGACATGGCTGTTTTTATTGACCTCAACTCTAATGCTTTTAATTTTCTAGCATGGCCGCAACTAAAGGGTGTGCATATACTACAATGTATCGGAAGCAGTCCCAACAGTGTCAGTATGTTAATTTTCATGCTGTTATACTACAAAGGCATAAGTTCAGCAAGCTTTGGACCTAAGCAAGAAAAAAATTATGTCTAAGCTGTGACCAGAATTAATATTATTTCAGTGTCTGCATGGTGCTTCTTACTCTACTTCTCTCTACCATAAAATTCAAAAATAAAGCCATCTTTGTCTATAAACAACTTCCTTACTTGACCTTCTGAACACCCACCAAACTTTAGTGAACTTTCAAAAAGGATAAGGACGTAATATGATGCTAGAGAACAGAAATAAAGAAAAACGCTAAAGCAGAATAAACACTGCGAAGTTTTTAGGGGTTTTGGTTTCTAGTATCTTCAAAAGGTATATTACAGAAAGGTAAGAAATCAGATGTGTGCAGAAATTTCCTTTCTGGGAATACCTTCAAATCAAGAAAATAATGGAAGGGACTAATATAATAGGATAAGATAACGAAATGCCTTTGACCATGTACAGTACTGCTTTTTTTTTTCCCAAATAACATTTCAAGAAGGTGAATATCTACACACAAAGAGTATTTTTGCTTTCTGCTGTGTAAATGGAGTTCTTACAAGAAACTGTCATAGCTTGGGTTACTGCTGAAGAAAATTTCAGTTTATTTTTTAAGGAAGTTCACTCATTTCACTTATTTTAGACTTTCTGTGAATGAACAGCATTGCAGAAAACTTGAAGATGTCCACAAAACGAATGGTGTCTTAATAATTAAAAAATGCATAGAAATCTTTAGTTCCGGTGCAGTGGGAAGAAATCACTAATCTGCCAAGAAAGCAAACAAGGATCGAGAGATTCAATAAGCAATTACACACCAACAGATACTGAGAAGGTGAAAGACATGAGACATTAAATCAAAAGGTGCAGAGGGATATTTTGACCAGCCAGCTGTTAAGCAGTTTTGCCAGGTGAAGAAGAAATCTAATTTTCTTGATGAGAAGCTAGTGCTCCACTTTGTTTCATGCATATTATGATCTCCTTGAATTAGTGCAGTATTTAGTATAACGCACTGGAGAAAAATCCAGCACATCCTAATACACATTTACATTGGTCTTTATCTTCAAATTTTATTTCCTCAGTGACCAGTAAGGTTTGGGTTTGATTTTATTCCATTTTTGAAAATTGGGGCACATAACACTGAAACATACAATCTCTTTATCAGCTGAAACACATTTTTAAATATACTGCCCAATCTTTTATGATAAAACAACACAAAAATCAATCATATAAAAACTTTTCCCCCAAAACGTGCTTCTTTTCTTCATGACGTAACATTTACCAGAAAAAGGAAATCTGAAAATACATTGGAATGTCATCCTGTTACAAAATGTTTTTTAAAATACGTGAGATGCACGTGAAACATCTCCACTAAATTTGATTTTTGTAATTTTCATTTTCATACAAATAAATTACATACCTATTAAATGTACTTTGCTTTATAAGCAGTATTTTTTCAGAATATCTGGCTAGATATTGGGCAGTTTTAACTTGACCTTTATATTTTAAATACACTGAACTGTATCACTAGTGGGAAAAATGTGCTTTCTGTCATTAAAGTAGCATCAGATATTTAGGCATGCAAGAAAAAAGACTACCATTCTTCCTCCATGTAACAGACAGTAGTAAAACTCATGGAAACATGTAACTTTCACCTAACAAATCTATTAGAAGATGCCTTTGTTGATTCAAAGAGTGCTAATATATGTATTCTTTCAGTAATATTAAGTAGCTTGGAATTGTTTATGTTGTAAACTTCCTAGTAGTGTTAGTAGAAATAAACAGAAAAAAAGAAAAGAATAAACCAATCTGAAATATCCTACAGGTGTCATAAATACTACATTTATATATTTGCTTTAGTTCAGAAGGAAGAAATTAATGGAAACGTTACAGATGAATTAGGTACTTATATGTTGTTTATAAACATGATCTATTTCCATACCTGAGACACATTTGTTTTGCTATAACAGGCAGGATCCTTTATTGGAAATAAACCAACTTTCCTTGGTTAAAGACAGATTATCAAAATTTGGAGGGCTTGCTTCTTTGTCAGAACTCATAAAAAGCTTATAAATCCACTGCTTGCTGCTTTCACTTTTTCAGCACCTGACATGAAATATGCTAATTCTCCTTATCAGTCTCACTTAACAGAAATTAAATGCGACAATATCCATCACAGAATCACAGAATGGTAGGGGTGGGAAGGGACCTCCAAAGATCATCTAGTTCAACAATATCCCTGTTCTGTAACTTCTCTAAATTCAGTTATCTGAGGGAAGCATATGAACAGAATTAGCAGGACTTCACACTAGTATATTGCATATTATCTGTAATAACACTTCTACCAAATTTAAGCTGTTGTCCCAGGTTGGCACCTAAAAGAAAAAAAATGTATTAAGGTATCTGAAGCATGACCTCAAGCTATGAAATGGTAGTTGTCAGACAATGTATTATTTACGAATATTAAAAAGGTTGGTCCTCTCAAAATACTTCTATTTTGTTCGCTCACAAGATGAAATCTAGTATGTCTTTTAACCAGTCTGTCCATACATTTGCAAATAATTCTTCACAGGAATAAAACAGATGCCAAAAAAATGGAATTAAAGTACAAACAGTAATTTACAGTAAAATATGAAAATACTTAAGCACAGATTTTTCTCTGCCTGTGTCCAATTTACAGCAATGACGTGATAAACAAGACGCAATATGGCAAATGTCAGCTTTTTGATGTATAAAAATATAAAACAGTTTTCAGTATCTAAAAACGGATCTGAAATTTTTCTGTAGGGTACAACTGAAAACATGGGTTCCACCCTTTATATGGTCATTATAAAGAAATAATATCATCTGATGAGTATCTGAAAAAATTCTTTGCAACTGATTTACAGAACATGCCACGTTGTATAATATTATTATCTTCTTGTATATAATACTGTACAGCAGAATTGTAATTTCTTGCTTGCTAGTTTCGAAATCTACAATTCAGCATGTTTTTGTCGAAATCCCTAGAGTAACACAAAATATTGTGCAGAATAACAGTTTCGTGCCAATCTGCAATAATATTACTTTTCAGTTTGCAGAGCTATGCAAGTATGAACTGACAACTTTGCATTTTCAGATCAGTTCTGTCAAAAGCAGCTTGTGTTTCCCTGTAATTGAATTTGGAATCCCTTTTAGAACAGATTCTAGAAAACGATTCATCGTAGTTTGGGGACTGGGAATATACGCATGTAAAACTTCTCAAACTCTTTGCAAGCAAAAGTTTTACCATGTGAAATCAAAATGCCATTTTACACATATTTTGAGCGAGGGATCTTGGGTACATTACCACAATGACATCCGAGCATGCAAAATAAAAACTATTCTCATAGCTGCATTCCAAAAAAAGGTAGTTCTATGAGTGATAGCATGTTATGTGAGACTTTTAGTACCATTTCAAGGTAAACATAAATAACTAAGATTTAAATATCTGATAATTTTGAAGAACTGTAACATACAGTGAATATTTTAGAGGAATATACAGAACAGTCACTTCTATTTATGTTGGGTTTCAAGACCTCTAATGGTTAGTTTCTGTTTTCTAATGTTATCAAGTTGTACTAAAGCATCAAACAAGCTATCATATTAAGTTTCTCTATCCTAATTTTAATACAGGCTAATAGCACATTCATTTTCAAACATAGGTGGATGGTTACAGGCATCTTCATGGAGAAACTCATACTGTACTACAATATGCTTTTGTCATATGACTGGATGGACAGACACCGTGCAGCAAAATGAGTCAGGCGTGTACCACCAAACCAGGAAGCACATGCCCATCCCATTACAGTGCCTACAATTTTTTCATGATACTGGAGAAATTTCGAGAGTATCTCAAAACCTTCCAAATGTTAACTAGCATACTATAATTTTGAGGCTAGGAAAAAAAGGGCAATTCACTATTTTTTTTTTCAAATGAGCAGAAATAATCCCTGCAGAAACCTAAGAAATGCTGCATTTTACTCACAGCATGAAGGCTTCATACACTTGTAAAACATGCTTCATTTTAGCCATAAATTCTCTTTTGCAATTTCTCTACTAGATTCTGTAATAGACATTTGGTTATATATCATTAAACGATTTTTCTGATTTTAAAATCCACAAAACAACTCTGCCTTCCTGATTCTCTTTTTACTCTACAGTCTGCCACTTCAGTGTCTGAATTATTTCATGGCCTTCCCCACAGACAAAGGTAAGATCAGAGCAATTTTTCTGTAGTGTTTTCTTCCTGATGACTTAATCTAACAATTAGCCTGTATATAATTTATGTCCTATTCCTCTGAATCAGTTCTGACTCTGGCAGTATCTGTCATAAACATTAAAACGTTTTTCCTTGCTGCTTCCCAACACTTTTGCTTTCTTGCTAGACCACTGCCTTGTTTCCATCTGGCTCTCAAAGTTAATTCATAATCCAGAGCCTTTTACATGCACAAATAAACTCTGTGGGTTTGTTTCTTTTTTTCCTCAGATACTTCAGCCCTTTACAAAGCAGCCTTACAGTTAATATTTTGGAGGTCTTTAGATCCAACAAACTTTACAAGTGATGTAGCAATTCGCAGTTCTTCAATCTCTTTCCAAATCCAAATCATTATCTTAGCTTCTCTTCTATGCCAAAAAGCACACAGCTCCACACGCTACTTTCTACGGGTCCTTCTATTACCCTAGACGTGCCTTCCTGTCTCACGTGTCATTTAATGCAGCATTTCAGAGCTAACACTATGTGAGAGCTATCTACGCTCCAAAAGCTTTGGCATGATGCAGGTTTTTCTCGGCCAAGTGCTTTGTCAGAGGTTTCACCTTAGTTTTGAAACTGATCTCTTCACTTGGGCTCAGTCCCCCAAATGCCATACCCTCCAGCTGCTTTATCTTCATTTCTGTGCTCAGCCTGAAAGCATATTATTACTAGTGTGTTTCCCTTCTGCTTGGACTGCAGTAAATTCAGTAATATAGTTTCATAGCTGGCCTCCTCTTGAGTTACTTGAAAATTACTAAAAATATGGAGTGCTTCTCAAATAGGTCTTGTCAGAAATAAAACTGCTTTCTGTCTTCCTTTGCCAGACACTCGTTATTATAGATATGTAGGAAAGCGGTGCTTAAGCCTTTTCCAGCTGTCCTCCACATTTCCAGAGTTTCGACATTTGGAGGACTTCTAACTGTTAGATCTTTCCACTCATGCAGAAGGGTCTTTTTCGGTTCATTTTATTCCTGCTCTTCAGAAATTAGTCAGAGCGAAGGAATCTGATGGTCAGGAGTTCCGTTATTTCTAAAGGAACGGGATGAAATCTGTAAAATAAGGCCATCATCACCACCGACAGCCTCCTGACTTGCAATTTTTCCCACCCCGGCTGGACTTCATGTGAACCCCGACCGCTCCAAACGCCTCCCGTTGGCCTGACAGTGCCAGGGGAACCACTGGACTTCAGCGGGGGAGGGTCGGACTAGATGATCTCTCGAGGCCCCCTCCAACTCTGACGATTCTGTGATCGTAAAGGTCTTTCCCAGTCTCGGCACTTCTGTGATTCTGCGAAAAGCCAAGCGCTGCTGGCGCAAACACGGGCACAGCGACGAAGCAGCGGCAGGCGGGCTAACGGGGACAGCCGCAGGGAAACGGCCCGTCAAGGCGCAGCGAACAAACGGTAGCTCAGCGGAGCGGCGTGAAATTCTCCGGCAAGGAAAATAATTTTAAGCCCAGTCAGGAATGCAACGAGGAGGCGCGGAGCCGAGGACACCTGCAGAGCGCGAGGCCCGCAGGCGGCCCCGTCAG